CATTCAAATCAAGTGAATAAAATGAAACTGTTTAACCAAGAAAACTCAATTTTGCAAATCGATTTGGGACGGAGATAGTATTAGATATCAATAGAAAATCCTCCCCTCATTATTATTCTATCTTTGATGAACTTTTTTGAGTATCTTCTTCATCAAGTCTAGTTTACCCATATTAAATTCCAGAAAAAAATTCAACCGGAAAGACAATCAAATAATTTTCTGAAATGTATTGTGTTGTTCAACTGTGCAGTTATCTTCAAAAATTCATTTAACTGCCTTCCTAATTGAACTTTTAGCTGAAATTTAATATGAGTAAACTAGACTTAAAGAAGAAGATGCTCAAAAAATTGCATCAAACAATTCCACCGAGAACCGATCCAAATGGCGACGGCCGGACAGAGTCTCCTATATAAGGGGTGATTTGCACTTTTTAAGATAGTTCGAGGGCCTATTTGACCCTTTAGCCATTTTTCAACATGTTATCAAAGCCATTTTGTTCCATTTCAACCCAACTTTAGGCTAGTTTCTTTAACTCTAATTTCTTTAAGAAATTCAGTCGACACTAAAAATATAGAGTAAAATAGCCAAATATAAGTAATTTTAGCCTTTATCAACCGAAGAGATATTCTTGAACCACTTTCACGCTCGGATATACAAACGGTCGGACCAAAGTAACAAACGATGGATACCAAGACAAGCTGATATACAAAAGAGTCTGCAATAGGGTCTAGAGACTGGATTTCACTTTGATTCTCCACCTGAAATTCAGCTTTGGGATAGAAAGGCTGACTTTCAAAAAAGGTGGACCTTCCCGGTGGTAGGTGAATAACACTTATATCCTTTCTGGTTTGCAGCATACCCTATGAACAACAGAGAAGGTAAGGGTTTGTGATCCGACTTTGACCTATGCGGAGAATGGTTGTGAACTTTGAAGGGCATCCTGTTTATCATGTAAGCTGCCGTCAAGACAGTCTCTCCCAAATAGTGTTTAAGAGTGTGGGTGGTGAACATAAAGGCTCTAGCAACTTTCAGTAAGTGTCTATTCTTCCTCTCGGCTACCCCATTCTGTTGTGAGGTGTCAACACAGGAGCTAATGGATATTACAATTCCCTTTTTGGACAGAAAGTCTCCAATATGGGATGAGAAATATTCTTTGACATTGTCAGTTTTAAAAATGTTGATCATAGAATCTTGGTTTGGAACTGGGTTTTGATCATATAATAGAATTTTTGAAAGAAAATGTTGACTTTTGACTTTTCTTTCATGAGGAAAACCCAGATTTAATCATCAATAATCAATAAACAGAACAAACCACTTTGAACCAGTGAGGTTTTTTACTTTGGATGGACACCAAACATCACAATGCCTTGTTGTTGGTCTTGATATTTTGGGGCCATCATTACCTTCTTTCTGCACTCTTCTCTTCTGACTTCTGAAAAGGCTTCCCTGAGTGTGGGAAGAGGCTTCTTTCCCATTATTGTGCCCCTAACATCAGCTAGACTTTTCTCCAAGCCTAGAAACTTGAAGATTTTCTTCATCTCACGGATCTCCTGATATAGCTTCATATCCTTAGAACATGACCAGCTGTATGTCTCAAACACATCAAGATCCTACCAGAATCTCAAGTATTGTGTTACACTCAATTCTACCTGTCACAAGTTATGCAGCCTTGATTCAACCTCAAGTAATTCAGAAGAGTAGATTTTTTTCACAACCTCCCAAATCTCTTGTGTTGTTATGTACAGTAGGAATTTCCCCAATACCAATTGTCATGGAATTGATGAGTCGTGACATCACAGTATAGCCCTCCATTTCTTGTAGCCTGGATCCCCTTGATCCGGAGCAGGTGCATCATCTGTCAAATAGTCATCCTTGTCTTTTCCACACACATACATCATCATTGTGGACCATTGTAACGGTTGAGTTTATGGAATGATGGTTAGGAATGGTGGTTGTGCTCCCATTGACATTTTGGATGATGCATCTACGATTTAGACAGCAGAGGTGACTCAGATAGATCCATCTCTCTTGTTGGTCATCCCATAGGATTCGAAGTTAATCATGTTAGAGAACTACCCGCTCTGATACCATGTAGATTGAAAGAAATAGAATAAGATGTTTCTATTCAACTTTATTTGTACTGTAATAAGAGAAGAAGGTTACATAACATATACAACTAGAGAAATAGAAAAATAGAAAAGGAATCCTACTAATTAAGGTTTCCTTAGAATAAGGGATATTTAAAGATTATGATATCTCCAAGATATCACCTCATAAATACATAATCGGGTGAATCAAGATATGCAATAATCAAAATAATCTACAATTTAAAAGCAATCACATTTTTAGAAATTGATTTAAATTTAGTACTCTTTATGTCCCTTAAAACTTTGTCAACTTTCCTTTTTTTGGTTTTCCCACTAACTTTGTCACTTTCCCTTTTAAGTAATGAATTTGTGGTTCCAGTTAATTCTCGCTCCTTTACACAAACCTCAACCACACAATTTTTACTTTATTAATCTTCGTGGCGATCAAACTTGACCATGTTTTAAGGGCAGGAGTAATATTTAGGGGGAAACCTCATTTTGTAACTTATGTAACTTGATTTCTGGACTCTCCCATAGAAAGCACTTGCCAAATTAGGGGGTGTTTGGAAAAGATTCTGCTTCTGCTTCTTTTTTAAAAGAGAAGCAGAATCAGAATCAGTTTTCAAAAGCTGGTACCTCCCAGCTTCTAAAAACACTGATTCTGGGAGTACATTAGAGCACCAAAAGTGCTTCTGAAATTTCACCCAAACACTCCAGCTTCTAATTCTACTCATTGAAGGAGCAGAATCAGTTTTGAGAATCAGATACAAACACCCCCTTAATAGGTGTGTCCAGATTTAAGTTAGCCCTAGGTATGACACTGATACAAGAAACATATAAATGAATAGAAGAGCCGGACACCAGTTTATCAATTATAGGGATTCATAGTTCATGCAGTAATTTAAGGCATAATAAAGGTAAATGACAGTCAAATATCAAATTATCAACAACCAAAACCAAAACTGTATTAATAAATATCAACCAAGGTAGTCAAAGTCGAGCGCCTGGGCGCTTAAGCGCACCAGGCGCAGCGTAATACAAGTCCAGCGCTTGAAAGATGACCAGGCGCACTCTCATGTCTCAGGCGGAGCTTAGACGCAAAAGCGGCAGTAGTCCTATTAGGCACTCGCCCATTGCGCCTGACAAGGGGGAATCTTTTACTGAGGTTGTTTCACACGTGCCGTCATATAAGACCATTAAGAAGCCCATATTTTTAATAAAGCCTGTGCAAACATGGTCAAAACGATGTAACCTACGCTAAACACACAACGTAAACCTCCCCCTGCTAAGCTCTGTTCTAGTGTTACCTGTTCGCTACCTCGTCCTGTCCCTCCACATCAACCGCAAAGCTTGCAGCAGTGCAGCACTCAACGATCAAAGTAACTCTCTTCTTCTTCTTCTTCCATTCGTTCCATTTTATTTCTTTTTTCATTTTTCAGCAGCTACTTCTTACATACTACCAGTATTTTTTCAGCATGTATATGTAAAGTGTAAAGTACCGGCTACTTCTTCTTGTACCCTGTGTCTCTATAGAACTCTTGTTCTATAGTCTAAACAACCTAAACATATATATGTAAACTACCGGTATATTTGTTCACCATGTAATTGTAAACTAACAACTACTTCTGCTTGTACTCTGTAGAATTCTTGTTTATATGTCTCAGTTGGTCAATTCTACAGTCTAAACAACTTAAACACAAACACACACACACACACATATATATGTAAACTAGTTGTATACTTGTATTTTTTTTACCGTGTATATGTAAACTACCAGGTACTTCTTGGAGAAGTATACACTACCAAACTACCCTTTTTTACCATGTATACATACTACCAGTCCATACTACGAACTTCCATATTTTAATCATGTATACATACTACAGTCCATTTTTTGTGACATAGGTTGGTGTGTATATACTTTATTTTGGTTAATCGTGACTTTATTTGATCAAAACATGACTTTTTAATGTAGATGGTTCAATATGGTATTATATACATCATTCTTGATGATTGGAGAATAGTATGCGCAATATTTTCTAAGCAATGCGCCTGACATGAGTCAGGCGAGCGCTTTTTGCGCCTTGAGTGCGCCCCACGACTTTGACTACCTTGATATCAACTCAAACAATTGTTGCAACTTTCACAAAGAGTAAATTGGAATTTCTCTTACAACATTACATACAATAAATACATAAATCATTCTGGTTTGATATTTGTGCGTGTGAGATAAGGTAAGATAATTATTTTTTATACTTCTTCCTTTCATTCCCTAACTTTGATTCCAAAAGTTCTACAGGGGAAGGGAGTGAAATAAGATTTTAGTAAAAATAAATGATGCAAGTACGGTATGAGTGTAAAACAACCAAACCCACAAAGCATTCAGAAATCAGAATCAAACCTGATAGTAGAGTCAAGTGACCAAGCAAACAATCAACGAGAACCAAATCCAATAGTAGTGCAAAAAACGTGAAAGTGTTACTTCACATAATATCAATGATGGCATGATGCCAATTTTGAAAAGATTGATTGCTGTAAAGTTTTGATGTTGTTGTTGCTTTTTTTTTGTGCTCGGCCTACACTTTCTTTTGTGCATTGTTGTTGCTTTTGTGCTTGTTGTTGTGCTGCCTTTTTTATGGGGATTGGTTATCCATGTTGGATAACCTTCATTTTTGGTTTCCCTTTTGTCTGTACATTCTGAACCTTTGTCATCTTGGATGATCTTTCTAATATACTTACATTTCATCCAAAAAATGAAAAGCTTGATTGCTATTTTTTCAGCAAAGAGAATGCCAAAATGACTAGTAAAAGGACTCAAGGGTTTGTATTTCATATTCATATAAGAAAACAAGTAAAAGACCGATATCAGCAAATCTATGAACAAGTGAAACTACTAAATTCAAGAAGTCAAACCTCAAGTTTATCTTCTTTTGCTCTGTGATTTTTGGGGAGTGTGCGGAACTCCTCAGTCAATCTCATGCACTCAGGAACATTTTCAGGTGAAACAAAGTCAAGAGCAACTTTTATGCATGACTGCAACCAAATAATAAGATTGTATTCTTAAGCCAAACACAAAATAATGGATCTCTACTACGGTATTACCTAAAATAATGGGCATAAATAATTATTATGACATTGTAAAGACCAGAGAATGTAGTACTCTGTGATACTGAAGCATTAAAAATTGACACCATTAAAAAAACTCATGCATAAAGAAAACAGCACGATGATTGAAATCCCATACACCAAGTGGAGCTAACAGAGAACAAACTTTTAAGTGAAAAGCTGCTAGCCAATGTCTGAAATCATGGAAGAAATACATATCCAAAGAACTTGAAGTCTGGAAGCTATCCCGAAGCAATAATTAACTCACAATAATAAAACATATAATATACCTTTAAATTTCTAACTTGATGAGGGCAACCTGCAGGTATAAAAACAGCATCCCCTAGCTGTTGGATAAATGTCCACGGTTCAACCCCTGAATAATTTAAGCCATAGCTTACATTAAAATTTAAAAATAAGAGGTGTTACATAAGACAGCTTACACGAGGAAACTAACCATGTTCTGCTTTCAGCCTCTTTTTGTGCTCAATGGTCAAGTAAAAGCATTGGTCATGTATTGGGTGAACAACCTAATCCACGGAAAGAACAGTCTCCTATTATCTTAAATGTTATTCACATTGACTAGAGAATAGGTACTAGAAACATGAAAATCCTAACCTGTGGCACTGGACAACAATAAATATGCCTGAATTCCTTGAAGTGCTTCCTCAGATATTCTTCCAACTTAGGGACATCTTCCCTTCTAAAGATATCCCAGAGAGCACCACCGCTAGAGTTCTCACTCTCACTTTCAGTTCTAACTCCCCCGCCACTGCTCACAATTTTTCTTTCCTTCAAGTAGTTTTCTAAGGGAATAGGCCAATTAGAGATCAAACTTTCACTCTCACTCACTCCACTGTTTATATATACTTCAGAAAGTTTTCTACCTCTCTGAATACCTATTTCAGCATTCCCATCACTGTCTGACTTCTCGCAAGTGAATGATTCACCATATTCACCATGTTGAGAGCTTTCCTCATTCAACTTAATGACACAACTATCTCTTATTTTCATCTCTTCTTGATCCTGAATAGCATGTTTGTCTTTCTGCTTATTAATGGTGGAAAGCTGTTCACTATTCAGGTTTGTTCCTTGAGTATGTGTTAAGACGTTTATCTGCACCAAAAACTAAATCAGTACAGCTCTTAATGGGGATGGAATGACAACTGAATATACATTATACACACAAGATAATCCAACAAATGTAACTTTCTCTGCAAAATTGGAGCGGAACAACAAAACCTTATTAGTCACGCAAATAACAAAGCTGCTTCTTAAGAGTTAAGAATATATTTTACAGTTCCAATATCTCCTAGCTACCCAAAATAGCACATGACCAAAATACACCCTCTGTTCCGCTCACTTTATTTGACAAAACGTTTTAGATTACTCATGGAGGATAGCTTTTTAGTTCTTTTATGAGATAGAAACTTTAGGAAACGATAAAATGTGTTAGATATATATTCTAGAATAGACTATTACAATAACTTGTAACAAACTATATCTCTTAGAGTTATGGTTAGAGTCAGTTAGCTGTTATGACCTAACCGGCTCTGTAAATACATTGTAAAGCTGCTCAGAATGATCAAGTAATAATAATTTGCTTCTCTTTCCAATCTGTATACTTTCTATTATGGTATCTGTAGAAAATGTTACATTATTGTAGAAAATGTTACATGATTTAATTTGGTGTACATACTTAGCCGAATAGATTAGAACATGTGCTGTTATTTAGAGATAAGCTCGTAGTAATCAAGATCCTATTTTTTAGGATCTAAATTAGCTTATTAGATGCTTGTACATCTGTATAAATATTCTGGTCGATTGGCATATTCAATTAAGGAAGTTTTATTCCTAAAACCTACATGTTTTATATTCTAGTATATTAATACTCCGCATGTTTTATATCCAATGACGCACCAAGGAGTATACCCAATAAAGTAGTTTAATTAATTAAGTTGTACACATAGCCAATTGACTTTTTTATATACACACACATACATAAACCTTTTTTCATTTATTAATTGTTGGTATCAATTCTAGGTAATATACAATGTAATTAGTAGTATATCATACGTAATATATAACATACTGTAAATTACAAATTGAATACAGTTAAATATAATGTTATATATAAATATATATATATATATAATTATATATATGAAATATAATATTTTATACAATGTGCGACTAATCGCCTAATTGTCGCCTAGGTGGGCGCCTTGTCGCCTAGGCGATATGGCGGTCGGCTGGCGCCGCGACTCGCCTTACCGCCGTGACAAGTATGGGACACCCTAATTTCCATTATTTAAAAAGGATGTTTCCTCAGTTATTTCTAAATAAAAATACTTCCTTACTTCATTGTGATATGTGTGCTCTTGCAAAACATCATAAAAACTCATATCTTCCCCACAATTATAAACCTACTAGTCCTTTTACTTTGGTACACAGTGACATTTGGGGAGCATCTAGAGTACCAACTTTAAAGGGAAAGAGATGGTTTGTAACTATTATTGATGATCATACACGAGTCACATGGGTTTTCTTGATTAAAGAAAAATCTGAAGTTGAAAAAGTATTTAGGGATTTTTATGCTCTGGTCCAAACTCAATTCATTGAATTCAATACCAAAATTAAGATGGTAAGAAGTGATAATGGCCGTGAATATTTTTCTCAAACCCTAAACAGTTTTTTTGCTGAAAAAGGCATAATCCATCAATACACCAGCTCAGAATGAAATTGCAGAAAGGAAAAACAGACATTTACTTGAAGTCACTCGTGCAATCATGTTTTCAACAAACATACCAAAATATCTTTGGGGAGAGGCTGTGTTACATGCTACTTACTTAATTAACCGCATGCCATCAAAAATTTTAGGATTTAAAAGTCCTATCAATTCACTACAGAATTGCTTTCCTACAAATAGAATGATCAGCACTCTTCCTTTGAAAATTTCTGGTTGCACAGTGTTCATAAAAAATCCTGATAAAACTGCAAGTAAATTTGATCCTAGAGGAACAAAATGTGTCTTTCTAGGTGTTTCTTCCACTCAAAAAGGGTATAAATGCTTTGATCCTATAACCACGAAAATTTTTATTACTATGGATACTTTTTTTTGTGGAAGAACAACCTTTTTTTATTCTCATCTTCAGGGGGAGAGTTTAAGAGAAAATGTTCAAACATTACCACATTTCCATGAAAACCTTAATTTTCTTGATATTAATCTAGATGATATTCCATCTGAAAATGATCAAGGAATAACAAATAATGAAATAAATACAACTGAACCAATGGAAAAGGAGCAACAGACAAGTCAGTTCTTTGGCAAAGTTTATGAGAGAAGAGTTCAAAATCAAAGAATAGAGGAAGTTCAAGAACCTGCCACTGTTCATGATTCTGACTCAATGACAGGGAGTGAAAAAGGTAATACTTCTATTCATCTTGACCTTCCAATTGTCCTTAGAAAAGAAAGAAGAACATGTGTTAAATACCCTATCTCAAACCATGTTTCTTATTCTAAATTATCCTCATCCTTTGCAACTTTTACTTCTTGTGTTTCTTCTATTACTATTCCTTCAACCATACAGGATGCTTTATCTAAAGCTGAGTGGAAGAAAGCTGTTTTGGAGGAGATGGAGGCTCTTGAAAAGAATCAGACATGGAAGCTTGTAGAGCTACCTAAAAACAAACCAACGGTTGGTTGCAGGTGGATCTTCACTCCTAAGTTTAAAGCAGATGGAAGTCTGGAGAGATATAAGACAAGGTTAGTTGCTAAGGAATACACGCAGACCTATGGCATTGACTACACAGAAACCTTTGCACCAGTTGCAAAGTTGAACACTGTAAGAATTCTCTTATCCCTTGCTGCTAATTTGGACTGGCCACTGCAACAATTGGATGTAAAGAATGTCTTTTTAAATGGGAAACTTGAGGAAGAAGTGTATATGAACCCTCTTCCTGGGTTTGAGAATAAGTATGGTGCAAAGGTATGCAAACTGGAGAAAGCTCTATATGGACTTAAACAGTCTCCAAGAGCCTGGTTTGACAGATTCACAAAATTTGTAAAGAAACAAGGGTTTAATCAGGCTCAAGCTGATCATACATTGTTCATGAAGTTTTCAGGCAAGGGGGAGATTGCAATACTAATTGTCTATGTAGATGATATTATCCTCACACGAAATTATCATACAGAGACTAAGAATTTAAAAGAAAAGCTTGCCCATGAGTTTGAGGTTAAAGACCTAGGAGACTTAAAATACTTTTCGGTATTGTTGTCTCACAAAGGAAATATATCTTAGACCTTCTGCAGGAAACTGGAATGAGTGCATGCAAACCTGCAGACACTCCAATTGACCCAGGTCAGAAGTTGGGAGATATCAAGGAAGGAACTCCAGTTGATATTCACCAATATCAAAGATTGGTGGGAAGATTAATATATCTGGCACATACTAGGCCAGATATTGCATTTGCAGTAAGTATGGTGAGCCAGTTTATGCATAATCCTTTCCAGGAACATCTTGATGCTACTTACAGAATCTTAAGGTACCTGAAGAGCTGCCCAGGGAAAGGATTATTTTTCAAAAAGGGAGTCAGTAGGACAATTGAGACCTATACTGATGCAGATTATGCTGGCTCAATACATGATAGAAGGTCTACTTCTGGATATTGTACCTATGTATGGGGAAATTTAGTAACCTGGAGAAGCAAGAAACAAAATGTGGTTGCTAGAAGTAGCGCTGAATCATAATTCAGATCTATGGCTAATGGAATATGTGAATTATTCTGGATTAAGAGAGTTACAGAACTGAAGATGGAGATGGAACTGCCTATGAAGCTGTATTGTGATAACAAAGAAGCTATAAGCATTGCTCATAATCATGTGCTACATGATCGAACTAAGCATATTGAAGTGAACAGACACTTTATTAAAGAGAAGATAGAAGCAGGAATTATTTTCACACCATTTGTATCCACCAAAGACCAAACAGCTGATATCCTCACCAAAGGGTTATCTAAACCTGTGTTCGAACTGCTTACAACCAAGTTGGAAATGTATGATATATATTCACCAACTTGAGGGGGGTGTAGAAAATGTTACATTATTGTAGAAAATGTTACATGATTTAATTTGGTGTACATACTTAGCCGGTGAGATAAGAACATGTGTTGTTATTTAGAGATAAGCTCGTAGTAAACAAGATCCTATTTTTTAGAATCTAAATTAGCTGATTAGATGCTTGTACATCTGTATAAATATTCTGGCCGATTGGCATATTCAATTAAGGAAGTTGTATTCCTAAAACCTACAGTATCAGAGCTCTAGCTCGATCCATGGTGATCTCCAATGATTCTTCCAATTCTTCTGCTAATTCTGGCAATTCCAATTCTCCCGTAACCTTCGCACATCCACTCCCGATCAAACTTGACGCAAATAATTTCCTCTTTTGGAAGCATCATGTGAAATCTGTTGTTCGAGTGCATAAATTGCTTCGATTCATCGTAAAACCGCAAATTCCAAAACAATACAACTTTGTTGACAATGAAGCGAGTGGAGACGTCAATGAAGAGAATGTTATTTGGGAGCAACAGGATCAGATGTGGTTCTCTTGGTTGCTTGCGTCGCTTTCTGAATCCTTTCATGCTCGAGTAATTCACTGCAAAACTGTGGAGTGAGATTAACAGTTACTTCAAGTCGCATATCCTTGCTAAAGCCAGACAACTCAAATCTGAGTTGTATAAAACTGCGAAAGGTAATCGCTCTATTTCTGAGTATCTTCTTCGAATCTAAACTATTGCTGATACTTTACTATCAATCGGAGAACCTATTTCAGAGGAACACATCAATGTTATACTGGAAGGTCTACCTGAAGAATATGAATCTCCCTCAAATTCTTCGCCAAGTCCCTTGGATCGTGCCAGATTATCTGAAGTTGAATCTCTTTTGGCTGCTAAGGAAATGAGGATGAAGAAGCTTCGTGAATCATCACAACAAAACCTATTTTCTGCAAATGTTACTCGCCATGAGCCATCACTCCCAAATAATACTTCAGCCCGTGAGAACTCTTCAGAAAACCCTTCTGTTCAAGTTGCACAGTTTAATATCCCTCCTAATG